AAAGTAATTCTATTATGAATATATCTTTTTTTTCATTTATAAACTTAAAATTTTACTTGAAATCTGTATATCATATAAATATTGAATTAGATTAAAGGTAAGAAGGTTGAATACTAATGTTAACAATTCACTCAAAAGAAAACATCTTAATTTACAACGCTATGTTATTTATTTTCGTTGTTGCACTTTCTAAAATTTTGATTATATAATATTGTAGTCTATTACTTATTTGATATTCATTAATATCTGTGGGATACAACAATATAATGTAACCCTCTCGTCATTAAATTACTAGCCAACTAGTATATATTTTTGCGTGTGACTACCTTCGAGGGCACTCAACACCTAGAGTCATGCAATATAATATAGTGCCAATTTAAAGGCAAAGATAGGCTTTGTCCATGAACACAAGCTTGTCTTACAATATTATGTAGTTTTTGAAAACTATTTTAAAAGCATTACATTCAAAGAAATGATGTCTATATGCAATTAGACATGTCACAATCTTTGATAAAGTTTATAATTATTTTAGCACCAAATTGAACCAATTTAAAAAGTCTTTGCCCAGCAGTAAGTGTAATCACTTTCCTATAAGCTTTAAATCTCCCTTAACTTAAGCAACAAGGTTCAAGATTTAATATTATGGGATACAAGAAGATGACGAAATTCTTAAGTTGCTTTGTTTAAGAATTTCCTGTAGAAATGCAGTACTGTGAAATATCTCAGTCTTATGCAAGTTTATTGCCTGTATATTTTTCAGACATTTCTCCAAGTATGTATAGATGCAAAATAGCAGTTTGGAGAAATTAATGGAAGTTACTGGAGTTCAAAAACTCAACTTCCATGAGATATATCTTATCTGATATATCAGACATGGGAAAATAATTGAACCATATATATTTCCATAAGATATGGACCTTCACAGATTCATGTACTGCATACAAAATAACAAAAAAAATATATATATATATATATATATATATATATATATATATATATATATATATATATATATTATATACATTTATTATACATTGCATGTTAACATGCAAAGTAAATTAACGTATATAATATATATATTAACATTGATATTGACATGCATGCATCACATATTAAACCAACGTGAACTTTCATTGTCGAAAAGTGAATTTTTAATTGAAAGTTCACTTTCGTTATCTTCACTTGGACGAAAGATGCCAAATTGCCGAAACTTCATATAGCCGAAAGTGAAGTCTAAAGGTTTCATTTGGCCGAATACAACGCATGCTTTACACTAATTCAAAGTTTCGTATAATCAACGAAGAGAACGAAAGGACATCTACTCGTTAAGCAATGCAATTCTCAAACCCGAATCAATTTGAGAACTTTCGGTTTCAACCATACGAAAACATATTTCCCATTTTACTTTCTACCAAACAAAAATAATATTTATAACTCCACAACTCCAAATATTATTTAAGCTTTCATGGTAGTCCATGTGAAACATTAAACATCATTACTATATAAATTTCCAACAGTGTGGCTATCGACCTTCGATCTCTGTAATTGTGACACCATTAACAGAGTAAGGTTTTGAATTATTAGCAACATCACCACATTTTAAGCCAATGATGGTAGAGAAACCAGGCTGCTTAGGAATGGGTAAGATTGTCGATTCATTACCAAGCATGAATACCACATCTGTCATAGTTGGTCTATCTGGCGCACTATCTTGAACGCATAGCAAACCTACTTGGATATATCTTGTTGCTTCAATAACTGAAATCATTTTGTCCATTGTTGGATCTATTAGATCTGAAACTTTTCCTTCAATCCACAAATCCCAAGCCTAATGATCATTCATAGGTAAAGTTAGAAGCAAAAACTTATTACTCATATTAAAAAGTGACGTTTGAATAAAAAGAATTATAGAAATAAATTAATATTTTTTGTCTACAATTTATGTATAGAGTAATACTTACGTAACCAAGTAAATTTGAAACACGATCTGGATTGTAGAAGCCATTGTTTCTCTTTCCACTTACAATCTCCATTATCATGACTCCAAAGCTAAAAACATCTGATTTCTCCGAGAAACAACCATCCATGGCATATTCCAGAGACATATAACCACTGTTTTACCATGAAGTTGTTCTATGATGTTATCACATCTGTGCTTGTTTTTATGGTTATTTTGAATCATCACAGTAATTAAGCTCTTTAATTTTGCTTATTTAATACATGTTTTCCTTGCTATTATCATTTAATTATGGTTCGCACTTGTTTTGAATATTTTACGGTGTTTGTTAGTGTTTTTGAACCATTTTAGGTCAAAGATATGACCAAGGGGAGTTCAAGGATGAGTTTGGAGCAATTTTGGATGAGTTCGGGGCCCAGTGGACTCGACGCGTCGAGCCAAGGGCTCGACACGTCGAAATTTTCCAGTAGCTAACTAATTCGCGCACAGGAAGTCTCGACGCGTCGAATATGCGTCTGTTTCTGGGATAAAAACAGACGCTTAAAGTGGTGCAGCTGGGCAAAATTCAATACAAGCGCGAGATCTCTTTTCCTAATATCAATTGCGCGGATTTCAAGGCTCATATCTCCATATTAAAAGTTAGCAATTCAAGGAATCTTCCAAATTCTAAATATCATTAAAGACGACAATTTCTTTATTTAAATATAGGAATTAGAATTTGAGTCCAATTTGGTACAAGATTCCTATTTCATCTCAACTTTGTACCCACTATAAAATCCCACCTTCCTCAACCCTAATAAGGGAGACCGAGGGAATTCAGAGATTCTTGGAGACAAGAAGGAGAGAAATCAAGAGCCACAAGTTGTCTTGGAAAGCAAGAAGAAGACTAGGGAGATTTGGGAAAATCGTCTGGTTAATTCTTGTACTCTTTTGATGATTTGTAATTCTTTATTTATATTTGCTATGTATAATTTAGTCATGCTTGGCTAAATTCTTTAGAGATTCTTGGGTAAAAGTGTTTATGAACCTATGTGCCTGAGCTCTCAGTTTCTTTAATATATTATTATTTGGGTTTAATACTTGTGTTGCAATCGTGATAATATTGTTTGATGCTTGTAATTAATGGCCATAGTTACTAGCTTCATAGCCATGTTTGTGTCACCAATGGGAGTTGGGGCATAAATTAGGGCACATACGATTGCACCTAATGGTTGGTCCTTGGGAAAGGGGAACTTATTAGGGGAAGTTTATTCTAGATTATTGCTCATCGGGAGATGGTAGTAATTAGGAATAATTGAATGCTGATCTTTATCTTATTGGGTGTTTAAGCCATGGGAGTGGAAATTCACTAGGAATAGAGATTACGGGAGTAATTCGATTCCATTTTGCATTCCCACACAAATCTTAATTCCAAACTAAATATTGCAAACGATAATTGGCACTAGGTGATTAAATACTTGAATCCCATGAATCTCAACTTCTCTCTAATTGTTTTCAAAATCCTGAACCTCTGTTTTTTTTTTATTTATTTTATGCCAATCAATCATCTAAGTAATTGTATGATTAGCTCTAATGAATAAGTTAGTAACTAGTGCTTGATACAACCACTTCCCTGTGGATCGATAACTCGTTCTCCGAGAATTATTTGTTTGCAAATATACTACGCATCATTCTACAAGTTACATAAAAGAAAATTATATGACAGAAGAAATATTTGAAACATGACTTACTAGGTCCCAATAATGCTTTTTGTGTTTGCTTGAGAATCACTATCTTTAAATATTCTGGCAGTTCCAAAATCAGAAATCTTGGGATGCATGAGAACATCTAACAATATGTTACTTGTTTTCAAATCTCTATGTATAATCCTTAGTCTTGAATATTTGTGGAGATACAAAAGCCCTTGAGCAATCCCATCAATTATGGATGTACGCTTTCCCCAATGAAGACAAACTTTCTTTCTTGCATCTGTGTCAAACCAGTGTCATGCATTCATAAATGGAGGCAAGCAAGATAAATATAGGGTGAATGATGGAAACAAATAAAGCATACTAACCAAAAAGAATTGAATCCAAACTTTTATTTGGAAGGTACTCATATATTAATATCCTCTCATCTCCTTGAATGCAACATCCTAGAAGTCTAACAAGATTCCTATGCTGCAATTTGGAGATCAATAGAACTTCATTTTTGAATTGTTCAACTCCGTGTCCGGACATTTTTGAGAGCCGCTTTGCTGCGATTTCTTGACCATTGGCTAATATCCCTTGAATGGAACTTATTGATCTTAATTAACCACAAAGACGTCTACTCTCTTCGTCTTGATTTTATATGCATGTCTTGTTTAATTAATGAGGTTTGACTAAATTTAATTATAATTTAATTTTTGACAATAATAATTAATTCAATGTTAGTAAATGAAATTTATATATTTGAAAAGTACATACAAAATACAATTAAATACAGAAAATTGAATTAAAAATTATAAAAAAAAAAATATTAAAGTAAAAAAATTGAATTGAGTAAAATGCGAGAAAGGGAGCAATTTGTATTATTGTTACTGTTGCACTTAGATAAGCTGTGATATGAAGAAATGGGTGAGTTTTAGCATTTAATTCTAGCTACTATTTACTGGAATATAGCCATAATGGGGCAAAGGCTGTTAAAAAAAGAAAAAAAAAAAAGAAAAAAAAAAGAAAAAAAAAGGAGGAAAATGTCATTATATTTATGCGACGAAATGTAAAAATAAATCTATTGAAATTTTTAGAATGAATGTACTTTTTTTCCCCTTATTTTGAAATTTCTAGCTTTGTGATGTTAATTGAAAATTTGGGTGTAAACACTAAAAGTGACAAAATGTTAAGTCACGTATAAAAATGAAAAAAAAAATAATAATAAAGCACTAAAAATGAAAATACTACTATAATCACCAGGCCAAATTAAAGGTCAACAAATTAAAATTTACTTCCCAATAAATCATTTTCTTGCCTATAGTGCAAAACAATGAAAATATGTGAATATAGTTCATATATATATACCTTGTATACAGGACCAAATCCTCCTTGACCAAGTTTATTTTCATCAGAAAAATAATTTGTGGCTATCTCTATGCTTTTAAAATCGAAAAAGGGTAACTCCTCGTCATGACCAACTAGTTGTTGTGTGGATTGCACAATTGGGACTGTGTCAACACTTATAACTGATTAGGCGGGCGGGGACTATAGCCAGAGTTAAGAAATAATATATGTGAATTGATAAATTGATATATATTAAAAAGAGATAGGATAACAGCATACCTATGAAGCAGCAGGTGCAACATTTTCTTGAATACCAAACTAGGAAAATCATTAGGGCGAGGATGACAACAGGCAGTATTACAGTAAGAGCAAGCATAGTTGTGGTTCTCATCATGTGGTGTGACATATTCCTTGTCAAAGCAGCAGCAGGAGGAGGAGAATGGATTTGATTTGCTTAAGATAATTGAAGCAATTGAGTGAGTAGTAGCATAGGTTGATAAACAAATTAAATTGAACTTGTGATGGAGAAAGTTACCTGCAGTTTTTGCATAACGAAGGTAAAGAGTGTCGCCGTAAGACGAGTAAAGACGCGCAGCAACATTACAATTATTCCATGATGGCAGCGTGACAAAATAATTTAGAAATCATTAAAGTTGGCAATTTCCTAATTAATTTAGGAAAATTTCGAATTCCGCCCCAGCTTTGTACCTACTATAAAATCACATCTTCCTCAACCCTAAGGGAGATAGTTTAGAATAGACAAATTTTTAGAATAGATAATTTACAATTCATAGTTTAGAATTCAGAGATTCTTGGAGACAAGAATGAGAGAAATCAAGAGCCACAAGTTGTCTTGGGAAGCAAGAAGAAGACTAGGGAGATTTGAGAAAATCGTCTGGTTAATTCTTATACTCTTTTGATGATTTGTAATTCTTTATTTATATTTGCTATGTATAATTTAGCCATGCTTGGCTAAATTCTTTAGAGATTCTTGGGTAAAAGTGTTTATGAACCTATGTGTCTGAGCTCTCAGTTTCTTTAATATATTATTATTATTTGGGTTTAATACTTGTGTTGCAATCGTGATAATATTGTTTGATGCTTGTAATTAATGGCCATAGTTACTTGTTTCGTTTGCTTTGTTTGTGTCACCAACGAGAGTTGGGCATTACTTTGGGCATACACAATTGCACCTAATTGTTGTACCTTGAGAAAGGGGAATTTATTAGGGGGATTTAATTATTGATTATTGCGCATCGAGAGATGGTAGTAGTTAGGAATTAATGATGCTTGATCTTATTTTATTGGGTGTTTAAGCCACGAGAGTGGAAATTCACTAGTGTTAGTGACTACGAGAGTAACTCTATACCACCTTGCATCCTCACACTTGTTAAATCCAGATTTTAATGTTGTCCTTAAGGTTTGGCACTAGGTGATTAAATACTTGAATCCCAGGAATCTCATCTTCTCTCTTATTGTTTTGTTTTATTTTATTTATTTTATGCAAATCAATCATCTAAACAATTGTTAGGATTAGCTCTAATGAATAAATTAGTAACTAGTGCTTGAAACAACCACTTCCTTGTGAATCGATAACTCGTACTCCGAGTATTATTTGTTTGCAAATATACTACGCATCACTGTTCTAAATTTTATATCCTAGGTCCTTTTGTCAAGCACATATACTAAGGGTTAATTTTTAATAAAAATATTTGTTTCATCTATTACTTTTTGCCCAGAGTATATATGTATTAGTTTTTGCCAAATAAATTGTTAAATGAGGAGATTGTAAATGTACAAAATTGATATACATTAAAACCCTTTAAGTTGTCTGATTTATTTGACAAAATAATTAGAACTTACTTTTAGGTGTGTCTTATGGACCTCTCCTATCAAAGGCATTATTTCTCCACCTTGAACAAGCTTCAGCGTGCATATATTTTTTTTAGTGGCTGCAAATGAAATAAGTGAAGTGGTCACTACAAATAAGGGAATATTTAATTTGTGTGGATGTGATCATATTTCCTAAGCAGGTGAACAACATGTGTTTGGGAGAAGTTTGTTGAAAGAAGAATTACTATAAAAGGAAAGGCATTCCTTATAATTGAAGTTGATGAATCTCCATGCTATTATATTGAGATGCTATTATATTGAGAAGAAACTGCCAAACTTATTACTACTCTAAATCTGTTTTATACATTGGTTAGATGTGTGAGCTCTACTGGAACATTGGGTCTATGCACGTACAAATCTTAATTGGGGTGTTTAGAAGATTGTAGTGGTTGTAGTGGTTGTTGGCCTTATGTACGAACCCCTGTAACTCTCCTTGGTGAACATCTAGTGGATTGGGCAGACGTGGGTCTTCCCACAAACGTAGGAGATCGAAGTGCTCCGAACTGCACGATCAATTCTTGTGTACTTGATTTAATTTCTTGCCTTTTATTTCGTTATTTAATTTCGCTAATTGATGATTTAATTAATTGATACGACAATATCTAATCTAAAATCAAGTAAAACATTAAGAAGTAACTTGTATTCAAAATTTACGACACTTTTGCCGTGTACATTTGTACACCTAGCTGACACAACTGTTCGCAAAGTCATCTAGAAAAAAAAAAAAAAAAAAGTTAATGGACAATAATGACATGGTAAGGTTAGAGAAATCGTAGGTATCATCAGTCTTCGTTTTTTATGTTTCATTATCTCATATTTAATTCCTATATATCTTCACTTTCTTTTTTTTTTTTTTTTTGAAGGGATTTGCTTTTATTGATTATTTGTTATTTGCTTTTTACTAGGTTGTACCGTTACGTTGTAGCTTAATTTACTTTCATTTCTCCTATTTACTAGTAATTATTAATAAATAAAAAATTGGACATTAATAAAGTAATTCTATTATGAATATATCTTTTTTTTCATTTATAAACTTAAAATTTTACTAGAAATCTGTATATCATATAAATATTGGATTAGATTAAAGGTAAGAAGGTTGAATACTAATGTTAACAATTACTCAAAAGAAAACATCTTAATTTACAACGCTATGTTATTTATTTACGTTGTTGCACTTTCTAAAATTTTGATTATATAATATTGCAGTCTATTACTTTTTTTTTTAGAACAAATAGTATTGAATACTGTTCTTGGTTTCACTGTTGTTGTTGTTTCGTGTTTTTGATTGATTCGTATATAGTCTGAGTTTGTTAGGGATGTGTTTGTAGGTATGATATGTTCGTGCAGAATTATTATTAATTCGTTGCTATTCAATGTTTTGATGTTATGCAGTGGTGTTGTTTCATCTTTGATTTCCCTCCTGTGCATCTTGGGACTATGATCTTCTTCTCTTCTTTGATATTTTGTTTTAAGTTTTTTATTCTCTGTTATGTTCTTTGTGAACAGTAAAAATGTTGATGTTTCATGCTTTTGAGATGAGAAATTTTCTCTGCTTTTGAGAGAAACTCTCCATGCTTCCAACTGTTTTTTTCACTTCATTGGTGGAGAGGAAACTGACAGTTGATTGGTGAGGAAGTTGGATTAAATTTGTGATATTATAATAATAATAATAAGAGTTAATTCCATTTTTGGTTTGCGCATAGATGTAAGTCACTGTGTGCAACTTAGGCTAAATGGATTTTGCTTTGGGGGTGTTAAAAGTTGTGCAATGTTTCATACATGTGGGCCCCTGGTTTGTACATAGATGTGTGGCACTGTGTTCAAGTTAGGCTAAATGGACTTGACATTGTGGGTTTTTCTTCTGTATACCTGTGCGAGTTTGGGTTGTAGCCTGTGCGTTGGGTGGTTAACGGAATTGCTTGGCTTCATAAGTGTGGGTTCCTGGTTGGTCCATACGTTCGACAAGTATTTTTGGTCCACTTTCCCTTCGTTGTTTAATTTTTTAGGCAGTTGATGCACGAGGGGGTGTCCATCCACCTGATGTTGCTGCTCCAGTGAAGGTAATTTGTTCTGTCATAAAGAAGGTTGAATACTAATAGAATGCAGTCTATTACTTATTTGATACGGAGTATTCAATAATATCTGTTAGATACAACAATATAATGTAACCTTCTCGTCATTAAATTACTAGCCAACTAGTATACTTGTGTGTGACTGCCTTCAAGGGCACTCAACACCTAGAGTCATGTACTATAATATAGTGCCAATTTAAAGGCAAAGATAGACTTTGTCCATGAACACAAGCTTGTCTTACAATATTATATAGTTTTTGAAAACTATTTTAAAAACATTACCTTCAAAGAAATGATGTCTATTTGCAATTAGACATGTCACAATATTTGATAAAGTTTATAATTATTTTAGTACCAAATTGAACCAATTTAAAAAGTCTTTGCCCAGCAGTAAGAGTAATTTGTACCAAGTGTGGCTATCGACATTCGATCTCTGTAATTGTGACACCATTAGCAGAGCAAGGTTTTGAATTATTAGCAACATCACCACATTTTAAGCCAATGATGGCAGAGAAACCAGGCTGCTTAGGAATGGGTAAGATTGTTGATTCATTACCAAGCATGAATACCACATCTGTCATATTTGGTCTGTCCATTGCACTATCTTGAACGTATAGCAAACCTACTTGGATATATTGTTGCTTCAATAACTGAAATTATTTTGTCCATTGTTGGATCTATTAGATCTGAAACTTTTCCTTCAATCCACAAATCCCAAGCCTAATGATCATTCATAGGTAAAGTTAGAAGCAAAAACTTATTACTCATATTAAAATAGTGATGTTTGAATAAAAACAATTATAGAAATAAATTATTATTTTTTGTCTACAATTTATGTATAGAGTAATACTTACGTAACCAAGTAAATTTGAAACACAATCTGGATTGTAGAAGCCATTGTTTCTCTTTCCACTTACAATCTCCATTATCATGACTCCAAAGCTAAAAACATCTGATTTCTCCTAGAAGCAACCATCCATGGCATATTCTGGAGACATATAACCATTGTTTTACCATGAATTGAAGTTGTTCTACAAGTTACATAAAAGAAAAATATATAATAGAAGAGATATTTGAAACATGACTTACTAGGTCCCAATAATGCTTTTTGTGCTTGCTCGAGAATCACTATCTTTAAATATTCTGGCGGTTCCAAAATCAGAAATCTTGGAATGCATGAGAACATCTAACAATATGTTACTTGTTTTCAAATCTCTATGTATAATTTTTAGTCTTGAATATTTGTGGAGATACAAAAGCCCTTGAGCAATCCCATCAATTATGGATGTACGCTTTCCCCAATCAAGACAAACTTTCTTTCTTGCATCTGTGTAAAACCAGTGTCTTGCATTCATAAATGGAGGCAAGCAAGATAAATATAGGGCGAATGATGGAAACAAATTAAATAAAGCAAACTAACCAAAAAGAATTGAATCCAAACTTTTATTTGGAAGGTACTAATATATTAATATCCTCTCATCTCCTTGAATGCAACATCCCAGAAGTCTAACAAGATTCCTATGCTGCAATTTTGTGATCAATAGAACTTCATTTTTGAATTGTTCAACTCCATGTCCGGACATTTTTGAGAGTCGCTTTGCTGCGATTTCTTG